CTTAATCAATAAAAAATATATTTAAAAAATGTAGCTTATGATTTGAAAGCCACAGCCTAAAAGACAGTCATATACTAGTACTTGTTAAGTTCTTGCTCCCAAATCCAGAGATCTTTTATTCCCTAATCAAATTTACACTAAGGGACTGTTACCAGAAAACTTAAAAATAATATATACTTAAATATGATTAAGATATAAAACGTCTTATTTTGTGGGGAGGTTTAATGCAGGAGATTCCATGGAAATGGAGTTCAACCGCAGTTAGAACTGAAATTTTCCTTAAAATTTCATTTTTAAAGCCTATCTTTCCCCAATTAATAAAGGACATGAAATATGCCATTGTTTCACTTTTAGCATTTCTGAATTATGATGTACAAAAAATCATAATGAAAGATTATATTATTCTTGAATGGTATTCAAATCCCCCCCCCACACACACACACACAGTAGTTTCACCCTTAACAGTTAAAGGATACTTTATATTTTGTAAAACATTTTTCAGCATCAGCATATTGATACAGATGTTATATTTACAATTTACTCTTGCTATCTTCTTGGGATTTGAAGTCCTCACCCAATTTCTTTTGGGGATTGCTGTGTTATATTACCAAAGTGCATTGTCCGACAGCAGAATATTTAGAGCAGGGATAACATTTACTATAAATATGCTCTATGAATTAGTGATGGCTAAGACTTTATGTATATATTAAGTAGTAGTGTCTTTTGATACACCTTAAGTTTATTCTGACCTTTTTCAAAAAAGTATTCACTTGATAAATAAGGTGTCTTCTTTAACTGAGATTCCTAAATTCAGTGGAATCTCCCACAGAAGACCTTTTTTCTTTAAAGATCTTGAAAGTAGCCTTGTTGAATTAAAAAATCTGTCAAGGTTTTTGCACTTAGAAAACTAAGTATTTTATATTTCGATTTTATAGTTATATGCTTAAATTTTAATCTTAATAACCTTAATATAAAGTGTCCTTTAACAGAAAGATGATACTATTGTGAGGGGAAAAGAATTTGAATATCATTCAAGAGTAACTAATATAATCGTTCATTAAGTTTTGTGGGGTTTTTTGTACACCATAATTCTTTCAGGAATGCTAAAAGTAAAACAGTGGCTTATTATACCTCCCTTCATTAATTAAAAATATAGAGTTAAAAATGAAATTTTCAAGAAAAATTCCGATTCTAATTGCTGTTGAAAATCCATTTCCAGTGAATCTTCTACCATGAGGGTTATGCTAAAATAAATCGCATACACAGGGTTAGCTGTAAACATCACAGGTGTGAGTAGGATAGGATTGCTGAGTTCTTTGCCCCAGGCAGAATGATTCCTAAAGCTAAGACAGCTTTCATTGCTCACATCTCTGGAATTAACTTTCTCTAGTTTGCCAAAATTCGGGAAACAAGGTGTTCAGTTCTCTCTCTCTCTGCAGCTATTTTTAAGTGAAAGTACTATTCTCATTCTTACTTCCACTCATTTCTTAACCCATGGTAATCAAGTTTAATTTTGTAGTAGTGCCTGTTAGTTATGTGAGCTCTGTGTAGCATCTGCATTTATACTGCTTCACACATTGCTCACAGGACAAGTTCCCACAAAGACCTGTTTTGTTCTACTGTCAATCCACCTAAAGAAACCAGTTTCAAAACTATGTGCAGCTTTGTAAATCAAGATGAACTGGTCAGAAATTTGATACAGAAACAAACAAGAAACCAAGTAATGCTTCCTAGTTAACAAGCAGGGTGTTACATACGATCAAATTTCAGGTAAGGAAACACTTTGCATTCTAAGCATATTCTAATTAGAAAGTTTATACCACATTCATATTGTAATCATAGTCAAGTTATTATCTTGTTCCCAGTGCTAGAGTTATGAAAATATACTTAATGCTTTTAGTAAGATACTGTAGGCAACAGAAGGCAGGGAGAACAAATGATGAAATGTGAACTTTGGCTGTGAGGATTTCTTAGCAAGCCTTGTAGGCGATAACTAAGTATCAAGGTTGCTCAGAAGAGGAGTTTGATATCAAGCACAGATTTCATTCTCTTGGGCAATAATTAGCAGACCACAGTAAGAAGAAGTATAATGGCACGCAGAATTTATTTTCTCAGGGACTCTCCATCTAGGTCAGGAAGAAAGGAATACTCATACACAATTCATTAAGTAACAGAATTACGTTTTTCACCACAGAGTTAAATTAAAACAATATATTCACAGCTCAATTTATGGTGTTCAAAAATATCCTATGAAATACTTTCTCTTTGGATAAATGTTTTGTGAAATTATTTTGCCTTCTTGTTTAGAACTTTGAAGAATAGCAAGCCCTGTTCGGAAGTTTTGGTTCAGATGATCATTAAACGTTTTACTTTAAATTTAGTATCAAATAAAAATAACCTTCCAAAGAATCCGCTTTTTTTGTGATGCTTTTCTTTTTCCTCTTGAGAAACACAAAAGGGAAATAAAAGCAAAGAAAACGTAAAATTTTCTCCACTCATTATTCCAACAGTAGGCAAAGACCAGGCTTCCACCACAAGTAAGAGAATTCTCAGAGGACTTAGTGAAAATATAGAATCTAGGTTCTGAATCAGATGAACATATTATCAAATATAAAACTTTTATGGAGAACACGACACATTTAAAAAATGTCCATCCTCCTTAATGCCCAACACACTTTGAAAAGAAAATTATAATAAAAATGGGGTTTTCCCCCTCGTGAAGCCCTTTTCCCACCACTGATATTTACTGCACATGAGTGTTTATTTTCTGTCTTGAAGAAACAAGATTAGCAAGGTAAGTTTTCTAAAACATTTTTCTTTACATGAGAATACAAAAGGATTCAACTGAGTAATTAAATGTCTTCTTGCTTGCAACTGCTTCTCCCTGGCACTCCTTTCTCAAGTTTCATAGTCTACGCTATAGACTGACAATTTCGGACTTTCTTATTTCTCAATGGTAAAGTGTGAATTGTCAAAAGAGTCTTAAAATATGAATTAGGTTTTCTTTTTTATTGAGATATAACTTACATACAGTAAAATGCACATACATTAACTGTACAGTTTGAGTTTTAACATATGTACACATCAGAATCAACGGGGAGGACTTTCAAAACACTCCCGCAGGTTAAAAAGTTTCTTAGATGATTCTGAGGAACACCAGTGAAGCATCTTTGCTTTTGTAAAGAAGCAAATTGAGAAATGTACATAAAGATACATATAAGGCGTCAACACAGATTACAGTTAGGTTGCTGTTTTTAAAAAACTTAAATTTCTTGTGTGCCTTTTTCATGGGGTTTGCAATGCTAGCGCACAGATGAAATTCTCAATTCGCTTTTCTCTTTGTTTTTTTTTAGAAAATTAATACAAAGCTTCATGATGGAGTATGTCAGCGCTGTAAAGAAGTTCTTGAATGGCGTGTAAAATACAGCAAATACAAACCATTGTCAAAGCCTAAAAAATGGTGAGTTAAGTTTATTAATTACCTTGCCAGTATCATATAGTTTATTATTTCATTCCCCAATTTTCAAAATCGTATTCAAATAAATATTAAGGTAAATAGAAAAAAAGAATTCCATTCTCCCATGTAGAATTTTATCTTATATGCTGAATCCTGCTTTGTGAAGGCAAATAGATTGAAAAACGGATTGATCATTCCCTGACCCATTCTTCCATAAGTAATAATGCACCATTTTTATAGACTCTTGTGCATGAAAGGTGGGTTAGGGCAGAGAGGGGAATATTTGTTTTGCAAATGATACCTCTCACTGATGAGGTATCAGTATTTACTATGGATCATCTTTACCAAGGGGGCCTTAAAACAGCTCTGACTTTTTAATGCAACCCATGAAGATTACGGAAATGGCTGAGCTTGAGTATCAAAATAAACTGCTAAATTGATAACTGATAATTTCATTCCTTTGAATAGTTGGGTTTAAATGAAAAGATACTGGACTTCGTTTCTCATTCCTCTGTCCCTCAGCCGTTTTTTTTTTTAATTCTTGGATTTTGTTTTATCAGCCTTATGCGCATATTAGTGTTGCTCCCTTATATTCTTTAGCTCAGCTGAATAAGGGCCACATTGGAGGGTAATTTCTGCCTGAAACAGAAAAATGATCATTTGAAATATAAAAGTTAGCATTAATGTATGTGATCGTGTTTTTACATTCTGAGTTTTAGTTTGGTAGTCTATGTAGTAGCTATTTAGAACACGGTTATGCAATGTTGCTTTATTTTCCTTTTAGTTTTTGAGTAGTAGTGGCAACTTCCTTAAATGTATTTTCTCTTCCTTCATGGGAGGAAGTTTTACTTAAAGTTTGGAACGTTAGTCTAAAAAATAAACATGATATAACCTTTGCTGTTTATTTTTATTGAAAAATTATGTCAGACATTTTGTGAATCTGTAACTTGGAGTCGGGGAAGTTCATGGTGATGTTGCACTGCCTGGGCAGTGTAGTGTAACCCAGAGGCCTGTGAGAGACCTCAGTCAGGCCCAGGAGATGAGCACCTCAGGAGCTGCTGCACCCTGAGGCAGATGAGGTTAGCCATACAATAGCTGGTGACGAGTGTAAAATGAGGGAAATAAAATATATTGTATAAATACCAAAATACAGACAAGATGTCATTAAGGAAGATCTCTAGAAATAAAGAAGCCTCAGGTATTGCAAAACAAATGATGGCTAATGAGAGACTAAGAAACTACTAGTCCAAACATGGCCCAAATGTGTTACTTAAGAGGTCACCTGTCTGGCCTAGAACATTATGAATTTCAGATTACACTGAACATGTGACACACGAGGCATTTTAGAAAGCCCGGGTTTCAAACTCTAATCTAGCATGGAGAGTCTTATAGAAAGGATAACTCATCTATATCCACCTTGCTTTCTCTGCATATTAAGACTTGACCAACATTGTAAGGGATTTAAATCCAATGATGAAAGATGCTTGATGGGAAGTGAAGGGATCAAAATTCTACCACCCTGAAGCAGCTTTTTGGATGTTGATTTTTAAGCTGTTTACTAAGAAACGAAAGACCCAGAAAGAACCTTTGACCCTCCCCCCTTTCCTGCCCAAGAGTTTCAGACAAAGAACCCAGCTTCTGGAAGGAGATCTTATGACATTCCCCTTAGCCCAATTTGAATTAAGTAGGGTAAACAAGAGAACTTCGGGCAGGTGCCTATTAGCTAGAAACCCACTGTGCCCCATTGTTTCTCAGTCACTTAGCAGGGATTTTCCTGCCAGGTATGTTTTGTCATCCTCAACTACCTGTAAATTGCCCATTCTTACTTCTGAAATCTATTATCTCACCCCACCCCCACCCCTTTTCTCCTTGCCCAGAAATGTCTTATATACTCAATGTTGCCTCACTGTCTTTGGAATTTTTATGGATTTATCATGTCTACGTGAATTCCCCATGTGCATGTATTAAACTTTATTTTCTCCTGTTAATATCTACTTTTAATTTGGTTATTAGCCACACCAGAAGAATTTAGAAAGTGGGAGGAAAAGTATTTATATGTATTTTAGACCCCCACTGAAGCATAACTTGTTTTGACATTTTAAATGCTTTGATCAAGCATAACCACTTACAAATTAAACTTTTCTTTTGTTGGGATTTATACTTATTAAATTCTACCTTTAAAAAACACACACACATGTATTTAGAGAAACAAATTTTACATTCAGGTACTGAAATGCCTAAACTGGTACCTACAAACGTCTTCTGCCTTGTATTTCAGGTAACTAAGCAATCCTTTTCTTCTATTAATTTACAAATATTGTAGGCAAAATACCCAAACTTGTGTTAGAATCTCTAGCTGCTTCTTTTCTCTTCCTACCCATAAAAGAAAAATCTGAGCTTAGAATTGGACCCGTAAGTCCTCTGTATCAGTAGTTCTCAACAGGAAAGGGGATTTTGACCCCAGGGACATTTGGGAATGTCTGGAGACATTTTTTATTGCCATGACTATAGGATCTGGGAGGAATGCTACTGGCATATAGTGGGTAGAGGCCAGGGATGCTGCCAAACATCCTACAATACACAGGACAGCCCGCACAACAAAGACCAATCCAACCCAACATGTCAGTAGTATCTTGGTTGAGAAACTGCTGTGTACAAATTCAATCGATACTCACAGGGTCAAGCCACTGAAGCGACATATGTACTGTGGGGGCTAAAAGAATATTAATACTCTTCAACTTCTAAGGTTTTCTAGGCTGGACTAATAAAATTAACAGGAGAAAATAAAGGTTTTAATACATGTTCATGGGGAATTCACATCGTCCTGAAAATTCCAAAGACAGGCAACATTGGGTATATAAGATGTTTTTGGACAAAGGAGAATACACCTGACCAACCCAACTTGACTCACTCCCGACATGTCCACACGCGAAGGGAGATGTGGCCAGAGAATGCCATGCAGCCTCTGTAAGGGCAACAGGAAACGAGGCAACACTACAGGGCTAATGATGGAGTCTTAGATTTCAGGAGTGAGAATGGGCAATTTACAGGTAGTTGAGGGAGTGCAGAACAAGAGTGGCAGGAATATTCTTGCTAACAAGCTGGAGTCTTTCTGACTAATGCTAGGGTGAAGATGCCTAAGGTGATTAAGCCAAGGCTCCCAGCCTTCCCAAAGCAGGCTTCTGTCTGCAGCTCTTGGGCAGGAAAGGGGGGAGGGCCAAAGGTTCTTTCTGAGTCTTTTGTCTTTTTAATAAACAATTTAAAATCAAAATGCCAAAAAGGCAGCTTCAGGGTGGCAAAATTTTGTTCCCTTCAATATCTTAGGTCAGTTTTATTCAGACTTTGCAGCTACAGAATTCTTGAATAAAACAAAAGCTTGCCAGGGAGTTCATTAAATACAGCAGGCTAACACAGAACTGTCCAGAATGGCGAGAAGGGGGCTTAAATGCCACAAGAAGAATGTGGTTGAAAGTAGATTTCATCCTAAGAGTAGGTCAGGTGAAGAAGGAAAGAACATGCCTTGGAACCAGCATTGCTCTAGGGATGCCTAGCTTACCATTTCCACAAATGTAGGTGCTTTATGCCTAACATGCTGCTTTTCATTACATCTTTTCATCAAACAAAGGCACTCCTCCTGCGGACCTGGTCTTCACATCCGGGTGTTTAGCCCTTTCTAACTAATACAGACAGTCCTCTCGACGTACGTTGTTTCGTGGTTACGTCGCCATCTCCCATTTATTTATAAAAAAGAAAAAGTTCCATCGTTTTGACATATGTACATATGTGCTCTATGTTTTTTATGATTTACTTACCACAAGTAAAGGTCAGGAATTGTTGTCTTTCTTTACATTTTCTTTTTACTGTTTCACCTCATTACTGCTGTGTGTGTGCTCCATGTGAGTGACATAGGTGCTTATGTAGGTGGGTTCTGACTTAAGGCAAAAATCGCGTTACATCGCACTGTAGGAACAGATCTGTGACGTAACCCGAGGACCTACTGTAGTTTTTAAATGTGTTGCCTTTTAGTTTTTAATCTAACCTCTTGGTACTTCATTGCATTAAATAAATAAATTATATTCGATCTCAGTTATACTCAAACTAGAGGCCTGGTGTACAAATTCATGCATGAAATTCGTGCACTTGTGTGTGTGTGTGTGGGGGGGGGGTCCTTCAGCCTGGCCTGTGCCCTCTCACAGTCCAGAAGCCCCTTGATCGATCACCCTGCAGAGGGAGGCCCCACCGCAGCACTGCAGGCTGACTAGCCTGGGCCTCTGTAGGGCAATCGTGGGGTGATGGCGAGGGCCCCCCACACCAATCACACCTGACTTGACTGGCCTGGCGCCAGTGTGTGTCATAGCGTGATCATCCAGATGGTCGTTCTGCTGTTCAGCCGTTTGGTTGATTTGCATATTATGCTTTTATTATTATAGATACCTCCATTGGTCTATAGTTTGACTTAAGGCCTCCTATGGGGAAGAGTTGGGTTTCTAGCAGTAGGATGGAAGCTTTGTTCCCAGAGAAGTCCTGCTTTTTATATGTCTACTACAGTGTGAGGCGCAGTTGAGCCTGGCAGGGGGAAATGCTATTTGAGAGAAAATGAGATTCTAGAGGGGGATGAGATGTTGCCAACAGGTCATGCCACTCCGTGATTTGACTCTCTAACAATATCCTGGCTCCCTCTTTACTACAAAAGTTTTTCAATCAAATTAGCCAAACTCTGACCTTCAAGATAATCTTTTTTAGATCAACCCTGTTCTTTTTAAAGTTAAGTATCTATTTTTGTGGTGATAGTAAAAAACACACAACATAAAAATTACCATCTTTTTTAAGTGTAGATAGTTCAGTAATGTTAAGAATATTAATGTTGCTGTGCAACACATCTCCAGGACTTCTTCATCTTGCAAATTTGAAACTATTCACATTAAACAACAAATCCCTGGTCAGCTCCTTCCATCCCCTGGTAACCACTATTCTACTTTCTATTGCTATGAATTTAACTACTT